ATATGCCCAAATTGACCAGGGTTTGTGCACCCTTTATACTCCTGGCCCCAAGGGAGCCTTCCTCCATGGATATTACATCACCAAGCTGCTCCACCCAAATTGAGTATTACAACACTCAGCTGCTCCATCCATGGACATCTTAAAATATTATTTAAGTGTAGACTAATGGGTTTTATTTTTTAGGTGGATAAGTATTTGTAATTACTTTGAAGTTTGAACCGGTGATGTGGAAATAGTCATATATTATTGTTATAAATTTCTCGTAGGGTATATTTTTACTTTTAACTGCACATGGGATCATCCTTTGACATTTTCGCTCCTGATCCTTTATCTTTTTCAAATTGATGCCGAATTGGATTTGAAAACATGGACAATTCCATTTATACTGAATTTTTTGTACTGAAAATGTTACACTCTATCACATGCGCGCGGGGCCTGCAAAAATTAAAAAATTTCCAAATGTGTGGTTCTCACACGCTATTGTGAATATATGTAAAATATTAGGTAAAAAAGTGGATGTACATGTAGCATTGTCCTGAAGACAGTGTAGTATGCTTTTAAATTTTATTTCATTTATAATAGTTTTATGGAACTGAATCTTTTAACTTAAAATTCAACAAATAATCACAAACAAATTGTAATAATTAAAATATATATTATAAACAAAAAACAAGGTAAAAATGTTCCAACGATCACTTGAATACTAATTGTCTTTGGATTTTAAAGACAAAAATATTAATTAAATTTGTATAATCTAGTTGTTCAACTATTTCTTTATTAAATGATAATGTAGCCAATTTGTTCAACGTTTCATGAGACATAGCTGATCAGAAATAAGTTTTAATCAACTGCAACTTAAAAAAACTTTTATCAGATACAACTATAACCAGCATAGTTATCAAAATATTGTAAGCCTTACAAATATAATCATTTGGGAAAGAAGCACCCGTTTTCTTCCAATGATATAGCACATCAATTGAACCTTTTGTATTTTCTTTATAAATAGTACCTCAAGACTGTCAACTCCGAACACAAATCATAGTTCCCTAGCACAAAATACGAAAACAACGCAAACAACATTTTGTACATTTTGCAAACAAATTTTCATGAGTAGTAGAGTCGTCTTTTTCGAATATTCTCACAACTTTCTTTATAAAAGGGTCATGCATTAAAATGACTTTTAACAAGATTTGTGTGTAAGAAAAAAAAAGGGTTTTTATTTAAAAACTTGAAATAGAAAATGAAAAAATGGGTTGAAAAGGGATTAGGTAGTTTTGCCACCTTTAAATATAGCTTTTGTATTTCATGTGAGAAAATTTACGTCTATGAAATTATATTAAAATGATAAAATATAATGGAACTTAAGATTGGGAATTGAAAAGTTTATTTTAAAGGTTGTTTAGAAAATTTTAAGAGTGAAAAAGATTAATGATTAATTGTTCAAAATTTTGAAAAAGCAAGTAAAAGAACATGTAGAGGTAAACTATTTAGTCTTTATCACTACACCACAAGTACATTGTTGATATTTATCTAACATTTTATTTTTTTAGCATCTAGTTTTTTCTTTAAAAAAAAAAAAAAAGAATTGCAAAAGTTTCCACTGCGCTCCCTTGTATTAAACCCCTCAAATCAATTGCTTTAAGTATGACTTGTTTACGTTGGGCGTAGGCTACCAGAGGCGGATGGAGAGGGGGGCTGGGACAGTCCCAACCCAGAAATAAATTGACTTGTAAAAAATGGAAAACTTAGCCTAATTCATGGTGAAAATAAAGAAGAATAAAAATTTAGGGAAGAATACACAACTCAGGC